TCTTAATAGTGGAATAGCCTTAGGCTCATTTCTCTCAACCTCCACTCAATTCCCAGTGAATCATCCAGCCTGTCATCTTAAATACCACCTATGTGCTGATAATTTCCAAATTCATATTATCAGCCCAGGCCTCTCTCCACACTCCAACTTCCTACTTGTCATCTCGATAATCAAATAAATATTCAAACCCAAATGTGTCCAAAACTAAACTCCTGATCCTTCCCCCTAAATTTGCCCCAACTATAATCTTCTAACATCAGTTGATGGCAGCTCCAACCTCTCTTACTTATTCAGGCCAAATTTGGAGTCATCTATGATTCCTTTGGAATTGTGGAGCCATCTATGATTCCTTTCTTTCCCTCATATTTCACATTCCTTCATGCTTCACATATTAGTCCCACCTTCAAAATATATTCAGTATCTTCCCACATCTTATGTCTTCCACTACTACTGTCCTGCCACTATCTCGCTGAATTATTTTTTATAAACAATTTTTATAAACAAATTTTTATAAACAATTTTTTAATTTATTTTTAAAATTTCTATTTTAAAATATTTAATTGACAAATAAAGATTGTACATATTCAAAGTGTACAACATGGTGATTTGGTATATGTATGCATTGTACAATGATTATCACAACCAAATTCAATAACACATCCATCACCATCTATGCTGCACATTAGATCCCCAGACCTTATTTGTCTAATAATTAAAAGTTTGTACCCTTTGACCACCATCTCTTTTTCCTGAGGCCTTCAGCCTCTGGCACTGTTCTACTGTCTGCTTCTACATTTTTAGATTACACATGTAAATGAGACCATACAATATTTGTCTTTTTGTGCCTAGTTAAGTTCACTTAGTAGAATGTCCTCCAGGCTTATACATGTTGTTTTAACTCAACAGCAAAAAAAGTAAATAACCCAATTAAAAAATGACCAAAGGACCTGAATGGACATTTTTTTTTCCAAATAAGACATACAAATAGTCAACAGGTATAGCTATCACTAATCATCAGAGAAATGCAAATAAAAATCACAATGAGATATCACCTCATACCTGTCAGGATGGCTACTATCAAAAAGACAAGAGACAAGTACTGAAGAGGGTGTGTAGAAAAGGGAACCCTATATACTGTCAGTAGAAATGTAAATTGGCATAGCCATTATGGAAAACAGTACAGAGGTTCCTCAAAAAATTAAAAACAGAACTATCATATGATCCAGCAATCCCACTTCTGGGTAAATATCCAAAGGAAATGAAATCAGTACCTTGAAGACATATCTGCACTCTCATGTTCATTGCATCATTATTCACTAATACACAAGATATGGAACCAACATATACATATACATATATATGCACATATATGTACACATACCAAATTTTCTTTATTCATTCATATATTCCTGTACACACACACAATGGAATATCATTTAGCCATTAAAAGGAGGAAATCTCAACTGAATTATTGCAAAAGATTCCATACTTGTCTTCCAGCTTCTCCTTATCCCTACATATGTGGCCACAGCAATTCTTTTAAAATGTAAATCAGATCATATTAGTCCTCTGTTCAAAACCCGCAATGGTGCCCCATTTCACTCAGGGTAAAAGCCAAAGTCCTTAAAATTGTCTAAAGGGCCTAATATGACTTAGTCCTCTCTCATCTTTCTCACTGTCTTTCCTATTTCTATCCTCTTTGCTAATTCCACTTGGTCTCCTTTCTGTTAATCAAACATGTCAGGTATGTTCTTACCTTAGGATCTTTGCCCTTGCTTTTCTCTCTTTCTTAGAGGCTCTTCTTCTTCCACGGATAACTACCTCACCTCCCTCAATATTATCTTTTCAATTAGTCCTATCTTAATCACCCTGTTAGAGTTGGCCCTGTCCATCATCCCAACACCATCACTCCAAATCCTCCTACAGTGCTCAATTTTTTTCTTTCTGTCATTGCACTTCTCAATGTTTAAATCAACAATTTGTTTATGTTTTTATTCACTATTTGTCTTCTTCATATAGAATGTAAACTTCATAAAGAAATTATTTTGTTCTCTGATGTACCACAGTGTAAGTGATCAATTAATATTTGTTGAATGATGGAAGAATAAACGAACGAATGAAATAAAGTAGAGTAATATCCCACCCTGAAGTAAAGGGATAGAAGCTTTCTCCTTTTTTCTTTTTTTCTTTTCTTTTCATGTCAATAGATTTAGGGAGTACAAGTGTTTTTTGTTACATGAACGAATTGTATAATACTAAAGTCAGGGCTTTCAGTGTGCTCATCACCAAAATAGTGTACATTGTACCTGATAGGTTGATTTTTAGCCCTCACCCTACCACCTCCCCCCCATCTTAGTTTCCAATGTCCATTACACCATTTTATGACTACATATACCCATCATTTAGCTCCCACTTATAAATGAGAACATGTGGTATTTGTTTTTCCTTTCCTTCCTGAGATACTTCGTTTAGGATTAACGGTCTCCAGTTCCATCCAAGTTGCTGAAAAAAGATATTATTTCATTCCTTATTATGCCTGAGTAGTACTCCATGGTGTGTGTGTGTGTGTGTGTGTGTGTGTATACACCACATTTGCTTTATCCACTCATCAGTTGATGGGCACTTAGGTTGGTTCCACATCTTTTCAATTGTAAATTGTACTGCAATAAACATACAAGTGAAGGTGTCTTATTTTAAAAATGACTTATTTTCTTTTGAGTATATATCCAGTAGTGGAATTGCTGGATTGAATGGTAGGTTTACTTTTAGTTCTTCGAGGAATCTCCATACTGTTTTCCATAGAGGCTGTACCATTAATAGTTTACATTCTGTCTTTTCTTCTTTATTTTCTTTCTCCATCTCCTGTTCACATATCAGAGGACTAGGTGGGCTGTGAGGGGGAAGGGCTTCTTTGGTAAAGAAGAGTAGATAAATACAGTTGGAGAGGTTTTTATTGCAAGAGTTTAGGTTTTTGTTTTGTTCTTTTTTTCTTTTTTAGTAGACGGAAAAAATGTCTATTAAAAAAGACAATTTATAGTGTATAACATGATATTTTGATATATGTATACATTTAGAGATGGCTAAATCAAGCTATTTAACATACTCATTACCTCACCCACTTATCATTTCTTTGTGGTGAGAATGAAATATTTTAGGTTTTAAAGGACATTCTATCTTTTCAGTTTTGGGGGCTATGAAATCTGGGGCTTTTGGGGGTTGTTAGGGCTTTTGTGTTTTCTTTATCACTCTGGTTTTTAGTTTTGTGATGCTTCTATTTGGAAGGCACCTTCTAAACTAAGCAAACCTGATGAGCTAGGAATGAGTACCAAAAAAAACAGAGGAGAAAACAAGTCGCTACAAGGAACTCAAGGGAAACAGGAAAAGAGAACTTCAGGTTTCTAGCCTCATTCACTAATTAGGAATAAGGATTAAGATTCAAGGCCACTAATGAAACTGGTAATAAAGATTATGAATTAGAGTGTTCCTTTTTTCCTCAGGATCCTGGAAACAGCAAGTAGGGTACAGGGGAAACCCTAGAGCAATTGTATAAACAAATAAATTAATTCCACTATTGTGTAGGGTTTTTTTTTAATATTCTTTCACACACACTATGTCTCCCCTAATATCTAAATACCAGTGAGGGGGTCCCTACCTTCCAAGATAGAGGTGCAAATATAATGAACCACAGATGTATTCATTATCTAATGCTATGTAAAATATTAACCTAAAATTTAGGTACTTAAGATAGCATTTATTATCTCTCATAGTTACTATGATTCAGGAATCAAGAAGCAGCTTGGTTGGACAATTCTAGGTCAGGGTTAATCATGAAATTCAGTCAATTGTTGGCTGAAGGTACAGATATCTGAAGGCTGGACTTGGCTGGAGGATCTGTTTCCAAGGTAGACTCCTCACATGACTAGCATGTTGGTGTTGGCTATGAGCAGGAGGCTTCCGTTCCTCCCCACATGAGCCTCTCCAGGGGGTGTGTGTTTTCACCACATGGTAGCTGACTTTCCCCAAAAGGAGTAACACAAGAGAGCAAAGGACACAGAAGAGCAAGGCAGAAGTCACGAGGCCTTTATGTAAACCTAGTTTTCTGCTGTACTCTAGTGATCACACAGGTCAGCTGAGATCCAGACTGGGAAGGGGGTAGGAAAGAGTGTGATACCAGTAAGTAAGGAACCTTGAGGGCTATCTTGAAGGCTTACCATATGGAAGGCAAAATAATTCCAATCCACTCAAAGTTAACCCAGATACATCTTTCCCTGTTTATGCCACTTCTAAAAGAGAGAACATTTGTTGCTCTTGTCTTGCCTTCCCATCTCTAGAGAGCCCTAAAACCTCCAGTATAATACCATCTTAGCATCTGTGAGCTGTTAGCCTACTTTGCGTTAGCAATGTATTTTTCATTCTAATAGTAGATCACAAACAATAAAGTTGTGACACTTCTGGGGAAAGGGAAAGACAATATAGCATCTTCTTAATTCAGCAGGGTAAGAAAGTTGATGATCTACCTTTCTATGTTAGACTTGATAGACCTTGAGAAAATGGAACAGATATTAAAATACTGAATGTAGACAAAGGAAAAAGATTCATGGGGCTTGGTTATGCCTCTATCTACAGCACATAATTTACTCTCAGACCTCTAGAAAGCACCTAATATCTTTGTATCTTGATTTTTCTCATATGTAAAATGTAGAAGATATTACTATGCTCACATGTATGAAGAATGAAGTCTGAAAATAAAGTAGGAACAGAAGTCTATTATGTATGTGCATGTATATATATATATATATATACACACACATACATATACATGTAGAAAGAGAAAGCTCAGTTCCCAATTTATATTTAGACTTCACAACATATACACACACACACATATATGTATGTGTGTGTATATATTTCTTGACTCGTATAGAATATGCATTTACAACCATGAGCTTGACAAGACTCCTTATAGACATAGACTATTCATATGTGGCAGCATCACTCACCTCTCAGTGTATCATTCCTTCAATAACTCTATAAACACTGAGAATTTCTTCTAATTTTTAACATGCCTTGATTCTCACTACTGTGAAAAAAAAGCTGATGTCATAAACACATTATGTTACAGAATCACTAAGGGCCAGACCCCATTCTTAATTACATAATCCCTCAGGTACTACCAGCCTTGCTAACCTCATAAGAGCCACTTGGAGTATAAAGAAAGAGGAGGAGGGGAATGAACAAAAGACTGAAGCTACCAAAATTCTTTGTATAATTTTCATTATTAATCTTTGGCAAAGAAACAGAGTTTGGAGGTGGGAGCAGGCAGTAGATAGCATTAAAATAATCAATTATTATTTATATGTTCCCAAATATCATGGCACCTTCTAATGACAAATGCTTAGGGGGAAGAAAATCATCCAACAGACCCCATTTGCCCCTCTCCAACATCTCCACGGTAATATCTGACGCCCAAGAGCATAATTTCCCTGTTAACTAGCTGTCAAGCACCTACCTCCAACAAATGGCATCATCATTAATATTTTCATGCTGTTTTCATCTGTGAAGTCTTTAATCCATAAGAACAACCTAATAATGATTATAAAATCAAAGAGATTTTGTAAAAGCCTATGTGCTTTTATTGTTACAAATGCTTCACTAGAAAACATCAGTCAAAAGTATAAAGGTACACTGCTTTGAACTTTTTCTGTGCTTGAATGAGAGTGTTTCTCTTGGAACATTCTCACATCACATTTCTGTTTCTTGTGGCAAAATGAATGAGCTGATGTTGCCTTAGAGGCTTCCCTGTTTCCCTTTTCCTGTCGCTTTTCTCCTCCTTCCATGGACCCTCTCCCGTTGCCTAGGAGCCCCACATGCTGTCTTCTGCATTCCGCCTACTGTATAGTCATGTTCCAGACCCTTCACAATCCCCCCTTCTGTAATTACAATATGTTTTCCCTAAGACGGACTTGCTTTGAGAGGCTGGCCAGGTGGGTGACTAACCTAATTATCTGTACTAAATGCTGAATTAGTCCTCATTCTCTCTAGAACTGTTTTTTTAAGCAGAGATTCCTAGAGATACTACCAACATCTCAGACAAAAATATTGTAGGTATTTTGGTGAATAGTAAGAGAGGATACATTAGTATAACCAGACCTTTTAAAAAAATAAAGTCCATTGGGTCACCTTACTTGGCCTAGGAAGCTGATGTAAGGAAGCTACTCTCCCTGAAAACATTCTCCAGAATAGGAATGTAGCCCCAAACGAGTATCCAATGGCTTCCCATTGCACTTAAAATCTACATCCCATTTTATGGCCAAAATGATCTGTCCTCTCCACACTTACAGCCCATGACTCGAGCATTACAGAAGTGATCCATATAACCAAAAACATTTGTACCCCTTAATATTTAGAAATTAAAAAATAAAATCTGGCCTCTCCCTGTCTCTACCTCACACACTATACTCCAGCTGAACCGGCCTTGAACATGCCGAGCTGCAAACTGATTCCTGCCTTAAGGCCTGCAGTACTATGTTTCAGTCATTGGCATGCAAATTACTCTTCATCACTTGTTTCCTAGCACAAATGTCATCTCTTCAGACAATCTAAAATAACCTCATAATCACTTTCTAGTACATCATCCTATTTTATTTCTTCATGGTATCAATCACTGCGGGAAATTCTAGTTCATGTATTTGTTTACCTGCCCCTTCCAGGCCGTTTTCTAATGTACTTTTCATTGTCTGTCATGTTCATCACTGTATCCCTAGTGTTTTGCCCAGAACCTGGTACATATCCAGTGTTCAATAAATATATGGTGAACAAATGAATGAATAGATGAATTCAAGCATAACTTAACCTTTAAACTTAAATAATTGAGTAAGAAGTCCTTGTACTAATATTGGAAAAGCTTGGGGTGGGAGTGAGGGTAATATCACTATAAACCATGTAACTAACTTATATTAATAAGATTTTTATTGATCATAGACCACAACAAAACATTATAAATACTGTATTCATAAAGACCCCATTGTATTCATAAAGACCCCATTTGCATTTGAAAAACTGTCCTTCTGATGAGATGTCAAAAATGAATGCTAGTATCCCTTGAGAAATTCTGGCAACAGATCTCATTTTCTGTCAATGTTAAATTACATTTCTCTTTGGCCAATTTCTAGCTGATATAGATATGCAGTCTCTATTGCTAGGACTTCAGAAGCCAAAGCAACTTGCCTGTCAGATCTAACGAATGATCTCTCCCCTCATGCAGTGTAGCTAAGCAGAGAAGCAGCTCCCATAAGAGAATAACCAACACAGCATGGAATATTGCTAAACCTATAGTTTTTTATCTAGCAAAGTACTACCCTGCCCCCTGCCAAAAAAAAAGCCTAGAAATTTTGTTTTCTACCAGGCAATCTCAGTTTAGTTGGTTGTAGCTTAGAAGCCTGAGAGCAGTCTAGTAAGCCTGCAGTTAGATGTTTTTGTAGAGTTCTCTCTCCTCTCAAAAGGTAAAATTGAGTCAAGTCAATGGATTACAACTTCCTGGGGTTGCTTCTGTCATCTGACAAATACTACAGTTCATCCTCCTTTGCTAAAGTGAAATTCCAAGGATTGAAAAAAAAAACAAAAACAGTATCTTTCATTCTAAGAAATACTAAATGAGTTTGTTTTTTTAAAAATCAATACAAGTCAGTACAAGCTAAATAATATAACTTTCCCTTTAAGAAAAACATGTAGCATGAGAAAACCTTATTTTCAAAGAACTACAATAAAATTTCTTGAGACCATGTGTCCTAGGAAAGCTCGATTATTAACCCTTCCAGTGGAACTATTAACACTTAAATGACAATATTCCATGAAGTGCTATTATTCAATTATTTCACCATTAAATTTATTTAAGAAAATACACATGATTCCAACTTGGCCTACAAAACAAAAACTTCTTGGTGCTTTGAGGGGAGAGGAGTGTAAAAGGGAAGTGTCTTTTTCATCAAATCTCTTATACTAGCTCACTACTCATTAATTTGGTCTCATATGCATCTTTTTGTGCTTCTGCCAAGATTATTAATCTCAAGGGTAAGATTGTCTCCAGCTACCATGTACTGTAAAACAGTAAAATTTTTTCCACTCTTCATGGACCATTTACAATCTGCAAGGTTTGGGGTGGGTATGAAACGTATTCCTGCCAATGGATAGCCACATCAGCAGTGCTGAAAACCAATCCTCCTGTTTCGCTCATCGTGCCATATGGTTCCATAAGAAAGGAGCAAACCAAAAGTGTAGCTAATGTACCTTGTCGATCTGGGTGTAGACTAATTCTCTGATATATATGGTCAGGAGAGAAAATTGTTTGTAGATCAATATATTATCTCATTCATTCTTTACTCATCTACCTCTATACACACGTACTAATTCATGGGGGGAGGAGAATCGGAGGTTTAAGGCCCCTCCGATTTTACAGGAGCTATAATATTTTAAGGAAATACTCTGAGGTTATAGTTTCAACAAAAAATCCCGGGTGCTTAGTGATGTCTTCTGAAGAATTAAGGATTATGGTTTTAAACGCTTTCCAGTAAGTGGTTTGAGTACTCTGGAGCAATTAAAAAGCAAGCTGAAACACCAAGATAAAGTTGTGTCCCCCTAGTGACCTTTAGAGTGGAGCTAAGCTCCCACAAGCAAGACTTGGAGAAAAATGCAAGGAGCACACCAAAGCCTAGCGCGCTGCTGTACACCAAACCGATATATTCAATAATACCTTCTACCCCCACCCCAGCTCCCATCTCGGAGTTGCTGTCCTTTCTTATATAACCCCAAGGCGCAATAAGTCTCCGCCTCCCAAAACATCGGGCCCATAGGGTTGAAATCCAACTTCAAATGCGACCCCTTCCTTCTAGCCACCCAGTTCCCCCGCGAACAACCTTCCTCACCGCGCATGGTGTTGAGCTGACTTCCACCTCTCTGCAGTGCTGCAGACAACCTCTTAGGCACTGCCAGCTGCCCAGCGAGAGCTAGGGAGCCGGTGAGCAGCGACCTCCGCGAGTCCTGCGGGCGCGGGCGGCGTGCACCTGCTCCCCGCGTGCCGCGCTCTGAGCCCCGTGGACGACTCCCCACCCCGCCCTCAGCAAGACATCGCCCCGGAGGCTCCCTCCCGAGTCCCGCCCCCGACCACGCCGCGATGCCAGTCACCCCAGCAACAAGCTCTTCCTTGTCCTTCCCCACATCGCTTCTCCCCCCTGAACTTTCCAACTTTGGAAGCCCTGGTTCTAAAGGAGCAACAGGGGGACGGCTCAGCCAGAGTCACTGCCCGCTTCCACAGGTTGGGAAGGGGCAGTAGCCTGCAGGGACTCGGCCAGTAGCAAGTCCCCTTGACCATCGGCGGGGGTGGGGCGGGGGGAAAGAGCCAGACAGCTCCATTCTCCGCCTGAGGATGGAGGCTGGGAAAATGGATGCAGAACTTGTCACCCTAGGGATGAAGGGGCGGAGAGAGCCAGGGATTGGGGGGGAGAGAATAGAAGAGACCAAGAAAAACTATAGAGAGCGAGAGGGAGGGAGGGAGAGAGGGAGAGAGGAAGGGAGAGAAAGAGAGAGAGAGAGAGAGAGAGAAAATTCCGAAAAGGAAGGATGAGTAGCTAGGAGCAAGAGTTGCTTCTCTGCCCACTGCCCTGAGGCGAGAAGGTGCAACAGTTAGACACTCAAGCTCACTGAGTAGAAAAAGGATGGGGTGAGAGAAAAGAGTCTCCAGGTTTCCCTAGGTTACAAAAGGGACACAAACTCCTGTCAGAGTGTCCCCGCAGGCAAAGGGAGCTGAAGCAGGACCGAGGTTCTCCCCATCTCCCAGAGAAGGCAAACTATTCCCCGACAGGCAGCCTTCCACTCGCCCGGGCTTGGATGTGAACAGGCCGGGGCCGACGGCGGGTGAGAGAGGGGATGCGGCGAGGTGAGGATGGAGCAGGACTCACCCTGGGTGCTGGGGGGCTTTCTCTTCTTCGCCATCTTCTGCCCCCTGCCCTCCCCCAGACCCCCCACGCGCGTCCTCCGGCCGCCGCGCAGCTCTGGGAGCGGGCGCCGTGGCTTCCAGGCGCGCTCTCGCCGCGGCTCTCAGCTCAGCGAGCTCTTTGTTGCTGTGATGGCATCTGCGAGGCAGCGGCGGCGGCCGGGCTGCGCGCTCCGCTCGGCTCGGCTCGGCTGGGCTGGGGCGGGCGCCGCCGCCCCTCTGCTCTCGGCCGCGCCGCGGCGCCGGTCCCCCGCTCGCGCTGCTGCGGACGCTGTGGCTGCGGCGGCGGCTGTGGCTGCTGCGCTGCTGCTCCTGCTGCTGGAGGGGGCAGCGCCGGGACCCCGGAGCGCCCGCCCAGCGCTGACCTCCTCCTTTCCCGCACCCCTCCCCCACCTCCCCACCCCCGGTGTCCCGTCTGAGCCGCCAGCTTCAATCCAACCGGTGACGGCGCCGTCATCCGGCAGCCGCTGCTGGGAAGGGTGACCGTGGGCGGCGGCGCGGAGCCGCTGGGGGGAAGCGGGGAGACCGCGGCCATCTGGGGCCAGGGAGGAGACAGCCAGGCAGCCCGCGTCTGATGCAGCCCGCAGTCGGCCTGCCTGCCTCCGAGCCCCAGAAGCCCCCTCCCGGGCTGCAGGACTCGATGGGCCCGCGAAAGGCACCCTTCTTCGTAGGCCAACAGGAGCTCCAGCCCTCGGGCTAACTGCGGGAGGACAGGCATCGTCGCGGGGCGGTTCTCCTCGGCAGCCTCCAAGGCGACAGCGAGTCCGAATTCCAAGCGGGTGATGAGCCCAGATGCGCGTGGTTGACTCTGCCCCTCCCGAACCGAGAAGGAAAGAGGGGAGAGGGAGACTGGGGGTTGACAGAGGGCACCGAAATTGAATTGAAGAGGCAGCCTACCGCCAGACACCTGCAAAATGACTTTGTTCTGGCCCTACAGCTCTTAATAGCGAGGGCTCAGGATGGCTCCCTGGGGGCCGTGGGAAAGGAGGAAAGAAAGTTCACGCACTCAGGTGTTGGAGGAATTGGGAGGTGGAGGCGTGATTTCTTGGCCTCCAGTGAAACTTTGTTCCACCGGCCGAGTTCTTTTCCCGCTCTGCTTGGGGGTTTGCCTTTGGCAAGTTTTCATTTTCCTGGAGGAGCTGTCCTCCTCTCACGTGCTGATAAGGATGAGAAGAAATCCTGTCGGCGTCCCAGGACTGTTTAAGACTGGTCTAAGAATATAAAGGAGCAATATAACAGTAGCTTAAAACATAGGGTAGGGAAGGATGCAAAATGGGGTATACACCAAAACTCACATCCTAATTCGCAACGATCATTTTAACACTTCCCCTTTTCTTACAGGTAAGAATAGTTCCCAACACAGTCTGGTTAGCTAAACATTCCGTGATTTAATTCAATACCTCTAGCCAGAAGTTGTCCCAGCACCAATGTGATGCGGCCGAAAGAACACTGGAGTCAAAATCTCTGGCTGTGAGTTCTGGACCTGTAACTTCATAGCTCTGAGAATCTGGACAATTCATTCAATTTCTCTCCACTTCTGTCTTCTGACCTGTACACTATCATCTCAAAGATTCTTTCCAGATCCTGAGATATTTAGTCACAAAATCATCACAAGTTATTTTTTGCAGACTTTCTAAATTTAACTTTATATAATGTACTATATTGAAGTAAATAATCTGAAAAACATGTAAAATACCCAATTCCTCTCACAACAAAGGTGTGCATCAAAAATAAAACAAAAATGTGAGCAAGTTTATTTTAATAAGCAGAATAGGCCCATTCTCAGACTTATGGCCAGAAATGAGACTTAGTCAAAATTTCTCTCTTCTGAAAAGCAGACTCTTATTTAATTAAAAACTAATCTTCCGAGTCTTCAAATTTTTAAGGTGTGTAAATATTAGGCTTTGTAAATATTCTTAGTCTATTTTATGTGCTCATATTTTATCACTAAGTACTAATTATTGCTTATATTACAATAATGTTTTTCAGTTTATTAATCACTGTAAACATATTTTATTTCATTTGATCCTGACCACAGCTATGAGTTGGAAGTAGGTCTTGTATTCCAGGGTTTGAGTTTTTCTTTTTTTAAAACAGTTTCACTGTGTTGTCAGGCTAGAGTGCAGTAGTGTCATCATAGCTCACTGCAACCTCCAACTCCTGGGCTCAAGTCATCCTCCTGCCTCAGCCTCCCAAGTAGCTGAGAGTACAGGTTTGCACCACCACACCTGGCTACTTTTTTCTATTTTTAGTAGAGATGGGGTCTCACTTGTTGCCACTGTCATTCAGATTTCAAGACTGTTGAACAGTAATAACTGTATAGGAGGAACATGCAACCACCGCAACAGACAGGCATTGTACTTTCTTCCTGGAATCCATTTTGGATCTCTTAGTGTAGCCAGCAGGTGCTGTTTACAGGCTTTTGAGTGTACTTGTACACTCAAAATCGGCATATGAAGGGGGTAGAGAAACTGAAATTGGCTTCCTACTCCATCCAACATACTACTATGGACACATAAGACTTAAATAACACCTCTTTCCTTTCTCACTGACAACCAGGCTGACCTAAGTATTCACTGCAATAAAATTTCACCTGAATTAAATGGAGGGTTTTAGGGTGAGAGCCTGTTAGATTCTTCATCTCTGATAACCTCATTGATGACCCTTAACTTAGGAAGCAATTTCATGTACGCATGTTTGAATTGTACAGAAAGACATGAAATTTGGAGACATGATTAAAGGACTTACATGTAAATTCTGGGTTTCTTAGATAAAACCTTCACAAAGAGACTTCCCCCACAATCCCCACACCCTGCACCAACATTTTACTGCTTTCAGAGAACCCATAATACTACCATCACTACTAGCAATTGAAAATGACATACTGAATCTTTGCAGAGGAAAAATTTATTTAATTTTACGAAGTTTAATTTACCAACTGTCATTTAACCTCTAGAACTGCATCCCTCTAGAGGGAGTTAATTAACAGGGCACTTTTTACAGTGAAATGTAAGCTTATTGCAGTTCAACCACAGCAGGTGTCCTCAAACTACACCAGGCCTGCAGGCCACATGCAGCCAGCAGAGGACATTTATCTGGCCTGCCAGGTGTTTTTGCCCCCACTGCCTGTCCTGCTTAGCAGCTGATTAGTCCAGAGCCCACAGTGCGCATGTGTGGAATGTGCACAGCACTCTCCAACGGCCCTCCAACAGTCTGAGGGACAGTGATCTGGCCCCCTGTTTAAAAAGTTTGAGAACCCCTGAACCACAGAAACCCAAAAGAAACAAAAGAAAGCATTTGAGAGGGCCAAGAAACTCTAGAGCTAAATTACCCAGAAATTTTACCAAGGGAAATGGCACAGACCTGGGCTGAGTAAGACAGAGTACGGATGGAAAGGCACTATCAGATATTATATAGAAATAGTTCTGTATGATTCACAGCTAAACTCTCAAGGTTTTCTGGAAAATATATAAACAACTAAAGTTGGTTTTTTTGATACTCCAGTTGGCCTGCTCAAGAACAAAATGTTCAATGTGATCTCTGCTAGCTTCCAATTATTCAATTTACCCCCAAAATGTTCTCGAGTTGTCCCATTATAATTTTTGTTTATAATTTTGTTTCTTGACTCAGTTTACCAACTAATTCTTTCAAATGTGAGCAAGCAATTTGCATGAAAAATAAATGCATACAAAATAAGTAACGAAATGTTTCTGAGATATTTTTGGCAATGGGCCAAATTGTATTTTCCATTATTTCCTCTTCTTTTCTATTTCTATTTATTCATCAACTATCTATCCATCATTGACTCAACAAATATGTATTGAGTAAAATTATATGCCAGTCACTCTTACAGGTGATTGGCTATACAATGGAGAAATAAAACAGCAAGGTTAGTGCATTCATAGTATTTAC